GCTATTATTTTTGGCTCTACTGACCCTGCTTTGTCTAGTGAATTTGAAAATTTGATGAAAAGCCAGTTCGAAATGAGCATGATGGGTAAAATCAATAATTTTCTTGGCTTAAACATTTATCAAAGCAGAGAAGGCATTTTCATCAATCAGGAAAAATATACAAGGAATTTGCTCGAAAAATTTGGAATGACAAATAGCACGAAGTTAAGAGTACCAATGGCGGTTGGCACAAGGCTATCACCTTCGTTAGAAACGCCTGCGGTTGATCTTACCTTATACAGGAGCATGATAGGTTCATTGCTTTATCTTACTGCAAGTAGACCTGATATCATGTTTTCTGTATGTAATTGTGCTAGGTATCAAGCAAATCCACGAGAACCACATTTAACTGCTGTGAAGAATATCTTTCGTTATCTCAAGGGAACAATTTCGTTAGGATTGTGGTATCCTTCGAAATCAGGATTCTTCATTCAGGCATTTTCAGATGCAGATCTTGGAGGGTGTACTTTGGATCGAAAAAGCACAAGTGGTGGTTGTCAATTTCTGGATGGAAAGTTGGTTAGTTGGCAGTCGAAGAAGCAGACGTGTGTTTCGATTTCTACTGCTGAAGCTGAATATGTTGCAGCTGCTGCTTGTACATCACAAATTATTTGGATCTAGAGTCAGTTGCGAGATTATGCCATTAATATGAAAAAGATTCCATTGTACTGTGATTCACAAAGTGCTATACGCATTTGTCATAATCCAGTACAACATTCGAAAACAAAACATATAGCTCTTCGTTATCATTTTATCAAAGATCATGTGGAAGATGGCAACATAGAAGTCCATTTTGTAAAAACAACTGATCAGCTTGCTGATATTTTTACAAAAGCTTTGGATGAAAAATCATTTGTTCGAATTTTGACAGGATTGGGAATGATCGAAGCATGTTCAGTTCCAGGAATGATTCCGAATGTATAACAACGAAGTGTTATACAAATGTGTCGATTCAGAAGTCATCATGATTCATTCAGAGGCTGATAGTATTAACCATTCAAAGGTTACTGTTCATAGTCAACGCTTCGACATGCTTCGTCTTCGTTACATTGAGAAGTTTGGTTCTAGGGATACACATTTTCGTTAGTTTGACAACTTTTCGTTATTTTGTCAAATTTTTGTTAGTTTAACAACTTTTTCGTTAGTTTCATATTTTCGTTAGTATAATAGCTTTATTTTCGAAATTAAAAATTACAAAAAGATTTTATTTTTGTTTTGTCATTTTATTTTCGAAAAAAAAATTAAAAATTCCAAAAAGATTTTCTTTTGTTAATTGTTTTCATTTTCGAAAAACTTACAAAAACACAAAAATATTTTTTCTTTTCGAAAAATCAAAAATATTAAAAAGATTTTTGTTATTTTGTTCTTTTTTTTTGTGTACAGATTTCACGAAAGTTATACAAGGGTCATGCTTGTGTTTATCTGGGAAGGTACAATTTCGACAACTTTGTACTAGTTAGACTGTCCCTAGAAGCATGCTGCAGCATGTCGACCCAAACCTCCATAGACTCAATTTGTGTTTATGAAAGCCTTAATGAAATAATTTCATACGAAAATTTATTCCCAAGTCAGGCTTATATTCACATTAGTCAACTGTGCTACCTTACTCTTCTCAAATGAGTTAAGAGTTGTCTGTTTGGTCCAATCATAATAGAGGTACAATTGTTTTCGTGAACCAATCTTTTTCATCACCAATTTTCTTACACTTTCACACACGCAGACATATGTCCAAGAGATCTTTGATTCAACCCATCAAGATTTAGACATGTCAAAACTCTGTGTTAATGATCTGACATCATGAGGCCGTGATGAAAGTGAAACCCAAAATTCTATCTTCGTAAGGAATTGACGGGGAACTATGTTCCAGTTTTGACGAAACATTTGTTTCAGTACCACTTTTCGAAACTCCAAATCATATTCATTTCATATGAGTGATCTTGATCAAACTTTCGAAGCCCACGATGTTTGTTACCCAACAGGATCCAATATAAATTTTTTCATGAATATGATTTCCGTGTGAGTTTCATTTGCTTTCGAAGTCACTTTCAAAATAATTCAAAGCATACTTGTCACTGACTACACTAGTCAAACAGGTAATTTCGGTTACAATTACTCACCTTATGTTTAGGTTGATATGTAACGAAATTGTAAACTACCCATGAAGCCTTATAAAAGAAGCCCTTCGATACTTCTCTATAAGTATTCGATTGTAATTCACGGGAACATACACAAGCAGTTGATTATCTCTCTTGATAATTAACGAAGTAACCTTTGCCCGAGGTTTATCTGCTTTTGTGTCGAAAATTTTGTTTTGACATCACAAATCCAAATTTTCGTTAATTTGCTTCTTATCTTATCTTTGGCACACTACACTCACGAAATCCTTGAGGTTCTGAGTAATACCAACTCAGGCTGATGATTTCAAACATCTGGCACATGACTTCGCTTTTTATCCCAAAAGTGAAAGAGCCTTACCACCATCCGAAGGTTGGTGACGGTTACAATTCAATTGGGATAAACGATCAGACTGTTTGAAAAGACGTTTTGTATTCAGTCCGGGTTTCAAGGTGACGTGACAGTTCCTTTTTGACGCATGACTACTTTATCGGCAGAGTAGTGCGAGATTCCAGGTGCCACGTCGGATCTCATTTAATGCCAGTCCCGCTTCAAATTCAAACACTAGGGTTACATATAAAAGGGGAATCAAAGGGTTTTATCGGTTTACGCTTTCAAACGTAAAATTCCCAAATTCTCTCTGAAAATTTCCAATTGTTCTTCAAAGCTTCAACAAACCCTAATCATGGCCAATTCTGCTGATGTTATTGTTCACTCACAAAACACTGAAGATGTTACTTCACAACTGATAATGAAGATTCAAGACACGAACTATCAAGTCGAAGAGGATGTTTCTCTTTATCCAGATGAATTGAAGATGTTGGTAGCCGCATTGAAAAGCTCTGTTCTTTCGATTGCCATGTTCAATTCCTTTGCTGTTCCACTTTCATGGCTTTCACAAGCAGGATCCACTGCTACTTACAACAAAGCAATGGATATCATCACTTTCCAACTGGTGAATGAAAAGAAGATCCGATTGTCCAAGAAGTTTTTTTTTGTCAGATTCTTGATATCCCTAATTCTCCAATATATACTGATCTTTCTTCTGCTCAAGTCATTCATATGTTTAATGAGATGGGTCATCAACCCCACTCACCAAGATCAGTGATTTCAAGAAATCAGGACTTCCAACTGTTTGGAATTTTTTATTTGGAATCTTTCTACACTGCTTGACTGGTCGCAGTGTTGGATTGGATAAAGGTCGAATGAAGCACTACAAATAAAATGACATTTAGTGACATACATTTTTAATAGCACGTCTTTTTTATGCCACTATAATATGTTTTTAGTGGCATATTTTATATGCCATTATAAAATTAATAAATCTAATGACGCTTAATTAGCGATTTATGACACTATTATTTATAAGAAGCGCCCTAAATTATTAAATGTCTGTTTTCCTAAAAGAAGTCTTCGTGTTTGATTCTCGTGTCTCACCGTATCTATCGATTAAGCTAGCGGATGCTTCAAGTAACTAACCAATGATCGAGACAAACGCAAGAACCCTAATTGATCGCATATTTAAGAGTTCAAAGGCGGTTCCTACAAGGTTAATCAATTGTGAGATTTTTTCTTCATCTTATCTTGTTGTCCTCCCTCATCTGTGTCCTACTTTATCATCAGTGATTGATGCCCAACCCCACCCTTTGTCACTAATGAATGGCGAGAATCGGCATTGCTTGCGTCCCTCGGCCCCAAACCGTCCCATCCAGTACTCGTGAACCCTAACGGTGGTCAAAATCGCATTTAGGATGAATACTGTTCTGAACTTCATCTATATTTTAGTTTCATTTCATTTCTTATTACATTTTCATCCTCTATCAGTGTTCAGAGTTTTTTATTGTTTCCTACTTGATATTTGATAAGTCGAACACCAAGTGTTCGATGAAATTCCTTAGTGAGAAAGAACAATGTATATACGCCCTTTATTTGTCACTGTTACAACTGTTGTAATTTTTTTTTCTTTTTGTTAATTTTGAAGGTGAAGTAGGAAGATAATGATTTATCATAGGAAGTTTGAGCAACCTGACATGGTTCCAACATGTTGCTCGCCATAGAGGGTGAGCTATACATTTTTTTAAAATTTTTTTGTTACATAGGCTAGGAATTGTATTTTTTTGTTGTGAACAATGGTGTTTCCTCCTTAGTTTTCTATTATTAGCTGCTTTTACTTAATCGTTCTTGGCATAATCATTTGAGCTACTGATACTCTTAGAGCTAAAAGAACATTCTGATATGATAAAGACTTGTTCTCTTTTTTATTAGACTTTAATGAAAAGCAGATGATGTATTATCTGAAAGGCTTTCTTATGCAATGCCTTCTTTAGTTGGGAATTTGTTCTTGTATATTCAACTTATGTGTCTAATGGTCGTGACATGGCAAACATTCTAAGGTATGAAATGAGTTGTTATCTTTATTGAATGAAGATAACCACAATTGTGATAACTAAAAGATGGGAGAATATCATATCAAACCAAAGAAATGCTCCAAATGCAAGTGGATTTGCATCAAGTAGAAAAGTTTTTGTTCTTCCAAATTGGTCAGCTAGAGATCCTCCTGTAAATGAACCAACTGTGGCACCAATGAGAGTTGAGCTAACAATCCATCATGTATCAATGCGGAGCAACCGTGAATATTAACCAAAATGTAAATCACTATTATTTCATAATTCACTGAAACATTACTTGCCTTGTAGGACTGTGTTTTCTGTAATACCAAGATCCTTGGCAAGATACTCAAGTGCACCATTGACAACTGGCAGGGGGTTTTTGGGTTTTCAACTTTCTTTAATTGGTCGACATGTTCTAGACTTTGGGAAAAATTTGCAACATCCAGACAGAAAAACATGGAAAAGATTAGATTTTCTCTAAATTTGCTCTGTAAGTTCTGTATCCTTTACGTACGGCAAGTGTTTGTAGTAATGCCTGAATGGATACTTCAGGCAGTTATTTATGTGGGTTTCCCAAGTCTCTTTTGTATAGTTGGAGTGAATACATGGTTAAGCGTTTTGGGGGAAGAAGATAGAGATATGTGGTCATTGAGGTTTGTTATTGGTGGTGATAACCCATGAGTTTTCTGGTGATGGGAGCGAATCAAATGGAGGTGGTCTACTAACTTGAAAACAATTCTTGAATTGAAGAGTACATATCATTCAGATCAAGACTAACTTATTGTCTAGCACTCTGTGCCACAATGCTCCATGGATCTGCTCAAGTAGTTGTCGGATCATCCGATGGAACAATCCACATGTTCTCAGTCGATTACGTCTCCCGAGGACTCGGAACCGTTGTCGAGAAATACTCCGGAATCGCTGATGTCAAGCGGAATGGAATCGGAGAAGGTGCGATTCTAACACTGTTAAACATACTCTTCACATGGTGATGATGGGAAAATGATTCTTTGCAGTACTCACAACTGTGGAATCCATTTGTCGGATACGCGACAAAATTCAAACGCATGGAATACGAAAGTGATTCCAGAAGCGGGTTATGTTTCTGCTCTTGTGACAAGTCCATCTGGGAATTGGTTTGTTTCGGGGTCTTCTAGAGGGGTTTTGACTTTATGGGATTTGAGATTTGGTATACCTGTGAACTCGTGGCAGTATTCTGTTCCATGTCCTGTTGAAGACATGTGTCTTTTTGTCCCTCCTCAGAGTACCACGTTGTCTACAACTGTTAGGCCACTTGTTTACGTTGCTGCAGGTTGTAATGAAGTTTCTCTCTGGAATGCAGAAAATGGGAGTTGTCATCAGGTAGAAATATATTTGTTAATTGATTAATTTATAAAACTTAGTGCTGATTTTTATTTTTATTTTTTTTGTAATGGATACAGGTGTTGAGGGTTGCGAATAATGAGAGCGATGGTGAGATTTCTGACATGCCTTGGACATTGGCTAGAGCATCTACATCTACATCTAGTAAGACAAATTCAAAAGGTGATTCTAGAAGGAATGTGAATTATAAGTATAGAGTAGATGAGTTGAATAAACCTTCTACTAGATCACCTGAAATCCGTTCATTGCTTCCTTTACCTGGTGGGACCGACTTAAAAATTCGTCGATGGGATCATTGCAGGTTTTTTTGTCTGTCTAATCCAACACTGTTGTTATTAATACTGACATAAATTTGGTTCTTTAAAAAGATGGTTTAATGCAACAGGTTTATTTAATCATTTATATTCAACAAGTTTATTTATTTATTTATTTATTTTTTCTGTTTTTTAAAATTTGTATAAACTTTCCCAGCTTGAAGATATTGGGCCACATGGGACAAAGGTGTTAATATACAACTTATGGCTGAATGATGAAGGCATTTATGAATTAAACTTTGATGAGGATGATGAGGTATTATTATTAATTTTATGAGAATACTATGATTTTTTTTAATCTAATAATATGATTAATTGTTTTTCTGATATAGGATATAAAATTGAATGATTTCACCAAAGGTGACCCAAACAAACCATGCAAGCTACTACTTTCTTGGGTTATAAGGATGGAATGGTTGTTACTATCATCGATGTAAACTCACCCTACTTATAAGCCTTTCGAACTCTTCAGGTCCATTTTCTGCTATAAATTTCTCTGCAGCGGTTAAAATATCATCTGGTTTACCGAAAATGCCCTTGTTTCGCTGTAAATACCATATTTTAACTTGTGGAATTCTGTAAAATGGTCTGATGAAATGCTTATAAACATAAGCAGGTCCATTGCAATAAGGCAATACTAACCAACATGTGGCAAATAGCCTAGCATATGGCCATATTGGGAACCTGAACCATGGAAAATCTTGTTAATTTACTGTAACCTTTTACCATTTATTAGACAGTACCAAGTTAAGATTCAACTAGGGGAAACATTTTAGTGAAAAATAAAGTTTAATAATTACCATTCAAGAGGCTTTGAAAATGTAAGTTTAAAGAGAGTGATTAATGAGTAAAGAACCCAATAAGTTAGCCATTGTTGGTCATCTGTTTGAGACCTGGTCTCTATAGCTTTAATTAAAGCATATCTGGTCGAGAATAAAACACAACCCTTCAAAATCTAAATCAAAAAAAAAAAAAAAAACAAAAAAAAAACATGAGTTTTGTGACAATATGAAAAAAAGGAAAAAAATATAACTGCATCAAGTTTTGCTCATCGATAAAATGAACTCTTAAAAAGATAAAAATACTATGATTTAACGATCAATAAGAATGGATGACCTTTACATTTATTCATACAAAATCTGTTAAATCGTTTATGCTTCAAATCTACAAGTTTTTTTTTTTTTTTTTTTTTTTTGCAATAAGTAATATTGTAGTGAATGATTTAACTTTGTCAAGAAAAATGTTATTAAAACAGCGTCTTTCTTGATCAATATATGAAAAAAAAAATGCACTTAAAGTATATAATTATCGAAACAACTGCAAATCATGCAAACGGATTTTCTTGGGTTATATTTTCAGAGATGTCAAGAAACTTGGATCAAGTTGGTTTTGAAAAAAAAAAAGAGTTTTCAAAATCTACAGAGCTTCACGAGGAGAATGGTTGTTACTATCATCGAGACCTCACTCATGGTAGCTGTTGGAGTGGTAGCCTATGTCAATATACCATGTGGTCTTCATTCTTTGTTGGAATTTGTTAAAAGAGTAACTAATTATGAGGATCAACTAACTAATATTGTATTTTGCTTCTTATGTTAATAACAGCTAATTCGATCTCATCCCAAAATGCAATCATACATTAGACTAGACTTTGATGTTGGTAAGGCACTCTGCTTTTCCTAGAATGGAAGGGAGGTCAACAGCTATATTTACACAAAAAAAGGACATTGGAGTACAAAAATCCCATTCAGACTGTATTATGTGGTTCATTTAGTTGACTAGATCTCTTCAAATATCTTGTATTCATTTAGTTTTGATGAACATTGATTACCGTTGTTTTGTTGTGGTTTTCAGGGGCAACACCAAAGGGTATATTTAAGGCTATGGGGATAACAAGACTTACTATCTACCATGTTAATAGCCACGTACAGGTAAATCCCACTTTTTCATTATTAGAGGACTTAGGTCAAGATACATTGTTTGTATACATATAAATTGTTTTGTATACACCAATTATCACAAAAATTAAACAATTACTAGCCTTTTTTTTTTTTTGTTTTGTTTTATTTTGTTTTATAGAAATACAGAATTTCTCCAAATTTATTCCCGAAACATCGAGACGTAAGCTTTGTGATCATTTATTTATTTCGATCACCATGACGTATTAGTATCACAGTCTTAACTTTCTTGCATTTACCAACTTAGATTATTAATTCAAGAGACAAGTTTTTTTGTATTCTTGTTAATTCATTAGGAAACGACCGCTAAACAAAGCATTATAAATGCAAGTGGAAGTTCAAAGAAGGTAATCTCTTCCCAAAGGCATAAATTCACTTTCATATCTTTCTTTTATATAATAAAAACGCCAAAATAAGAATCAAGACTTTTGCCTCCATTAAATATTTAAATAAAGTTGTTAGTTTATATGAGTGTTTTTTATTTAATGCATAAAGAATGACTTAAAAATCATGAAAATGAACCTTTCCAATTCTCAACTCTCTACAAATTTGTCATCATTCTCCATCTTTCTAGAGAGTGTCATTTTCTCAGATGTCTTTTGAACATCATTTATTTAGAGCGAAAAAAACTTCACTTGCTATATGTGCAATTTGCTCATTTACACACTTAAAGTTTCCGTGGTTAATCTTTTTGGCCTTTTGTAAATGAATCAACAGATCACCAAAGGAGCTATCAACTATAACTTCATGGGAAAACACAAAGAAAACATATGTGGAAGCTAAGTTTACACAAATCAAGGTACTGCTTAACAAATAATGCTACTTCAGTTCACCATAATATAGTTAAATATATATGCATGCTTTTATGTGTTAAATCCTTTTTACACCAGAGCTTCAAATAGTCAAACCAGTTCTTAATATCCTTGTGTCATCCATAATATTGAATCTTGTTGTTAGTTTGAGCATATCTGACAAGTTTGACATAACCCAAAAGAAGACTATTTTGCCCTTTTTTCTTATTTTCATACCATAACATCCAACCTATGTTCTTCAATCAAAAAGGATAAGCCACATCTAGTTACAACCATGGTAATAGTTGCCAAAATTAAAGGATAACAAATAAATTGTTTGATTTAAGATTAGAAAGAGTATGTAATAATTTTACAACATAATGAGGGTCAATCTTGACAGCATCATAATACTTCTGAATTCCATATTGTATGTTGCCAACAAGCTTTAAACTTGTTCCATATTTTGCATCTGAAGCAGCAGATTCCTTTCACAATATGGACCTCAACATTGGTTTTAGCTTTCTCTAGTATACTTAATCTAGTTTTATTTTTCCAGCTTATTTATCAGTTGCTTTTGTCTCCATTTTGTTCTTATTTTTCAGCTTATTATTTATTTTCTAAAATATGCTTATTTAACTATATTTTGAATTGTCTTTGTTTGTTTTTGGACAGGCAATTGCTAGTATTGATTCTAGAGTACGAGATAACACGATTTAATCAACCTAGCATGAAGCGTAGGGAACAAGTTCATATGATATTAAGTTTAAAGTTTTTTTCTTTTTTTTCTTTTTATTTTTTTACTTTTTTTCTTCTTTTTTTTCGTTACTTTATGTTTAGGATGTACACGATTCCATATATAGACATATTTAATTCAAAAAGTTAAAAATATTGATGAAAAACAATGAAATTTTTATTATTTTCTACATGCTACAATTTAATTATTTTTTCTTTATTTTATATTATAGATAAAAATTATATAGATATAAATAGCGTAAATTATAAAATCTCATGAGTATTTATTGCCGTAAAACATGGCACAAAATAATTTTTGTATTATGGCAAATAAAAAAGTGCCACTAAAATCTTAAAATATGTAATTAAAAGTAGCATGAATTTTTGCATTGAAATAGGATTCAATGGCACAAGATATGTGCCACTAAAAACTTTTCTTCTATTGTAACAAATAAAAAAGTGTCACTAAAAACCTAAAAAACTGCAGCGGCAAAAGCTAAAAGTGTCACTAAAGGGATTTAGTGGGAGGGTTTCTAGTGGCACTTATTATATGTGCCGCTGATTCTTTGAGAAACCTTTAGTGGCATTATTTTGGGTTTTTAGTGGCACTTTTTGTGTGCCACTAAATGACATTTTTTGTAGTGGAGGAATATGCGATGGTAGCTGGTGTATACTATGATATCTCAGTGGATTACTCTACACAGCTGTGGAAGGAATTTCAGAAGAGTGTTGAAAACACGAATGTTGTCCAAAGAATTTCGTGTGCAAGGTATTGGAGTTTGATTCTTCGATATTTCTATGCCAAAGAAGGAATTGAGGTGCCTGCTGGTGAGGAGACTGCTGAATTTATAAAGTATCAATTTCCGAAGGAGGTTACTGATGATGCATAAATCTTTACGCACATTGCAAGGATTCCAGATGCAATGTTACAACGTGTTGATCCAACAAACTTGGTTCTTATGGAGTATTTGGAAACAATCAATCTTGATGACACTGGAAAGTTGTTGCCAAAAGAAGCAGCTGGTCCTTCGAAGAAGTCAAGAAAATCGAAGAAGGATGCACCAATTACTCCTGAAAAACATGTTCAGGAGCCAAAGAAAAAGAAATCACCACCGAAACAGACGAAGCCAGAAGCACAAGTTTCGACTTATGTGGTTGAGCCAATCGAGCCTGTTATTGATGACCAAGCAAAGGAAACCATCCCATCAAAATCAGGTATTTTCCGAAGAATTAAAAAGAAGTCTCGTGGATCACGAAAGCTTTCAGATGGTTCGTTTAAGTCTTCCTCTACTATGGTTCGTAAACCATATCTGAATCACACTAAGGAATTCTTATTCGTGAGGTTCCAGCTCCTGTTTCTCCTTCCTCAAAGAAACGAAGAGCTGAAGATATGGCTACCCGTATTTCCAAGAAGTTAAAAAAAAGAAAGATGGTTCTTCAAGAGGAATCATCTGAAGGAGAGAAAGTTCCTGAAACTCCTGAAGCCACTATTCTCCAATCCACATCTACTCCTGAGAAGACTGAGGTCATACCACCCGAAGTTTTGCTAACCGAGTCAGTTACTGAGGAGGTTCGAACTTCAGACATTCTTACACACGTATCTGATACAGTTGTAAATGTCAACATGGGTGAAGGAGAGTCCAATAAAGACATTTGTGTTACAACTCAAGGTATTCCTGCACCTTCGGATACTTTCATTTCCTTACCTCCTTTCATTGTTCCTATTTCGAACACTACCAATTCACCCACTTTTGAAACCATTCCCACTCAACCCATCACTACTTTGTTCTCGTCTCAAACCACTGATCCACTTCAATCTACTAAGGACACTGATGTTAACGAAGGGGGGATTTGGAGGTACATTTGAAGAGGTTGAGTTTGATGAAGAAGAAGAAACTTTCCCCGACAATATGTTAATGACGATGAAGTAATTTAAGATTCTGAATAAGAAGATGAATTCGATTATTTAGTCTCAAGCTGACATGGGGGGAAGTCAATCTATTTCAAGTTTGGAAGTTGATGTTATGCTCAAAGCATTCGAAACCAGGATGGTTAATAAAGTTTCTGGAATGATTCAAGATTCTGAGTCTAGAATTTTGGAGAAGGTGGACCAAAATGATAAGTGTAATGAATTACGAGTGAAGTCTCAATCTTCGAATTTTGTGGGTGAAGTTCAAGATTTAGGAAGGATGGCTAAAGAACGACATGTCTTGTTTATTAAAGATGTGAAGCAAGTTCGTGAAGATGTCAACTTCAAGCTTCAAGAACTTTGTGAAGATATGCTCAAAGAGATTGCTAGTGCTCAACAAGACTATGCATCTCTCAATCAAAAGGTGGATATTATTTGTGATGCTGTCACAAAGTATATGTCAAGCTGTATGAAAGCTTGAGTCCTCAAGTAACTCAACTTTCTACGGATAACAGTCGAAGCTTTGTGGAGCTTACTACTTTGTTAAAAGAGTTGAAAGACTTATCTATCACGCCTGTTTCTTCTTCGATCATTACACCAGAATTCTTATCACAAAAGTTTTCTCAATTCGAGGCTGTGTTGCATAAACAGTTGGCTCCGTTATCAAAGTTTTCCAGTCTTCTACCAACAGATGCCCCACCTGTTGTCACAGGGGTGCAAGGGGGATAAAAGAAGGTTGGTGATGCGAAACCTGATGAAGCTGTTAAGACTGTTGGGAAATTTTTTCAAACGAAGATTCCTTCAACGAAGCCAATAGTCTCAACTGCTGGGCCTGTTACTTCAACAGTTGTTACCACAATGCCAATTTCCACGATGCCAATTCCAAGGCCAATTTCTAAAGGAATTATGACTGGGGAAGGTGGTAGTAGTTCGAAGCCCAAAGAAGTTGTTGATAACTCTTCGATAAAAGACAAATGAAAAACAATTTTGGTCGAAAAGTCGAAAGAGGAGAAGAAAGCTGAAACTGAAGCTGAATTGGAGAAATTACGAGTGGTCCAAAGTATTTTGAGTCTTCGTGCAAATGATCACCCTGGAATGAACAATGGTGATCCTGCGAAGCATTACAACTACGAAACAATCGAAGCAAGAGTTGCATATAATCATATGTATGCTTTTGGAAAGAAGCCGAAGCAAAGCTATGCTGTTGTTAATTCTGATATGAACCAACTGGATTTCCCGGTGAATGAAATGATGTTCATCATGGCTCGGTACAAGATTGCTGAGAAATTTGATAATGATGATGATTACACATATATGAAGCTCAGGTTTCATACTGTTCTAGGGAAACTTCGAGAGGAAAATATGGTCATTTGTGAAGATAAAGAAGGTGATCAGCATTAAGAAGGATGTTCTGTTCGAGAACATGATGCAGAACCTTCGTTTTCATGTTGCAAGGGCGAATTGTCAGGAATGTGATTTCTCCATTGATGAACTTGTATGATCTTATACAAGTTGCATTACTTTTGAAAGACAAAGATGCTTCGTATCTTCGAGAAACTGATCCAGAAGTTTTTCGTCTTGGTCTTGCCCACATCAAAATATTCATAGATAACTACTATGAGTGTTTGGCACTAACAGATGTGGAGTTGGCAACTGCGAAAGGATTGGAAGTGAAAGTACCCATGGAACCAACGAAGACTCAACCTGAGTTAAAGAAGTATGCAGATGGGGAGATTTACTTGAAGCCATTCGGTTTGGTGTTCGTAGGGAAGGATAAAAATGGAAAAGCCAAGAGATTCTTATTCCAAGCATGCGAAGTGGAGAGATACACAACGTCCCAATATACGAACTTTATTGTTCGTATGAATAGCTGCAAGAAGAATAACGAAGGGGACAAGAAAGAGTTGAAGAAGATTATTGCTTGGTACTCTGAAATCCGAAGGGTGATGCTGTATGCTTTACAAATTTTTTTGAACTGAAGAAGGTCGAAATTATTACAAAGGGGGAGAATGTAAGGGTTGAAGACCTGTTGTAATATGTCGAACACATAAGTTTATTTTACAAGGCATATTTGTAACGAAGCTTAGATGTTTAGTCCTTGTAATTTTTTGTGTGCTTTCATGTTTCCTATAAATAGGGACATTACTTAGAGCTAGATAAGAGTCTTTGTATGAACTTGTCTATTTTCTCTCTGTAACATTTGAAAGCATAATAGAGCTGAAACCAGATCATATTTACATCGTGTGTTCAATCTACATTCGTTTAACTTTGATTTGATTCATACTTGATTCTACACTTCATCAATAATTACTTTAGATTATGACTATTGTTAACCGTTTAGCCACATGTCAAAAAATGATGTAAAGTCACCATTGTATAATTTTAGAGACATTGAAAAACTATTAAACTTGGCCAAATTTATATTAAAGCCACAATAATTCAATTTTTATTGTTACTTTTTTATATTGTAGACACATCAAAAGAATATAAATTAAAGAAACAAAAACCTGACAATATGAAACAATATCAAAATTTCAGAATTCGATATTATTAATAATTGAAATCCAAATCCATACGTTAAATTCGTAATTAAAATACCAAAAAAAATTGTACTAATTGCAAGTATTAAAATATGGTAAATAAAGCAAAACATCATAAACGAAAAACTAGACATAACTAGGCATTCATCTTGTTGGTACTGCTCCTTGTCTTCTTGAGAAGGGTATCAGATGATATATAAGTTGGTTTCCATTTCTTTGAGTTTTGAAGTTCACGGTCTTGAAGTGATATCATATTTGGTACCTATACCAACAAAATCGAAAAAAAAAATGAGTACATTAAAAAGATTTGAGGCATATATGTACTGGTGTTGCAGATTTCAGGGAAGGCAATGGTGTATTGGGAGTTGTAGTTGCAGATTTAGTTTGAACTATTTTCTTGTTGGTTTTTGCAATTACCTAAATAAGTTAAAGTCCCAAATGAAAAAACAGAAATTAGTACAAAAAAATATAACAATGATGATCTTGTAAGGTGATGACATACTCATTTCTTGTGTTTTCTTCTAGTAATTATCAATCATGTATGAACCATCAGTTCCTGTGGATCTGTCCAAAACACAAGTCCCAGATCATACATATATTAAAACATTAACATAATGCCCTTTTATAAGAGTAACATACTAGCTTCAAAATATATAATCAAAATTGAATTCGAGCAAAATAAACAAATAAAACAATAAACAAATAGAACCAAATAGAATCAG